CAAAAGAACTGAAACCTTGCCCCAGTCTTACATCATCCTCGCAAACATTGGCCTGAATGAGTTGACATTTGTGGCATTTGTGCCCATCTCCCTCCCTGTGGGTCTCCCTCCCCTTGGATGACCCTCTACTTCACCAAACCTGGCTGATTCTTCCTCACGGTGTGTCCCAAATCAGTGAGCCTAACCATGTCTGTTGAAATCCATAAGGATTTTGTTAGCTAATCTTCAGAAGAAGAACACCAGACCTTTCTAGTCTTGAAGTCCCACTAGAACCTGTCCAGTGGGGTGATGCTGCAGCGATTTGAGAGCCTGTTAGCACAGCATCCAGCAGCATAACAAGTCCCAAGCCATGACAAGTGGTAGGGCGGCCATAAGGGTTACCAAACCCACGAGCCCACTGCCATGCTGTCCATGAAGAGTACAGTCACCCTCTACAGGACAAGGGAGAGCTTCTCCTTTGTGAACATTTTCATAGGAGCAGGCAGTCTCAGCTTACTCCCCCAGACTGACGGTGGGTTTGAACCACCAACCTTGTAGTTGGTAGCCCAACTCCTAGTGCACAGCACTGCTTGGGCTTTTTACCTTAAATATTACAGCATGGGACACTCTACAGTGCAGTTCTACGCTGTTATAGGATCACTATTAGTCAGAATCAACATGATAACACTGAGGGTTTTCTTTTTGCTTTTTCTAACACTCTCCTTTCTTTTAACTCTAAGAATATACATGGCAACTTAAGAAATTATCCAACAAAGAAACCAATTTTGTTGCCAATTATTCCAATGAGAATATACTACGTGCAAATTCTAGAGATCAATCAACCACATCAGACAGAAAAGCCATACACTGTACCCCAAACAGTTGAGGCAACAATGAACTCAAGCATAGCAGCACTTCAGCGCATGGTGTAGGACCTAACAGCGATGCCTTCGGATGTATTAGGGCTACTCTGAGTGAAAACTGACTTTAGGCACCTGAAGACAAGAGCTAATGGAGAAAAGTATCTAAGCATGATAAGGCATTAAATCCAATTATTGTGAGACCATTCAATGATAATGCTTTAACAAAAAACGTTGGGCTTTAGGACAAAAAGCACTCTGAAGGGCAGAACTGATTAGTATTTAATGCTGATAACCAAATACATTTTGCTTCATTATAAAGCCAACATAACTGAGAAGAATAAAAGCCTCGTGGACAAAAGCGCATTTAGCAATCCGATCCAGTTAAGCAACAGTACTTGCGAGGGGAGGGGAGGGGGCAGGAGCCTCCATTCACAAGCCCGTAGAATCACTTACCACAAATTAACCAGGAAAGGATGCTCCAGGCCCTGCATGATCTGGAGTTCTTTGAAGACATTTCGCACTTCGTTCCGCTCCACACACTTTTGTTTGTTCATGTACTTCATTGCATACATTTTCTTGGTGTCGTTCTTCTGCACAATGCAGACCTAATGGTGCAAACCAGGGTCAAAATACTGCGAGAGAAATGAGGAGCGGTGACAGGAGGGAACAAGGCTTGTCCTTTGGCATGACTTGGGGGCCTTAACACTTGAAAACCACTGACGTTTAATTTGCCACTCAGCTCTGATTTAAGAGCAAAGCTTTAATTTTGTTCCCCTGTACCAAATCAGTTCCCTTCTTTCTCAAACAAGTTGCCTGTTTCTTTCTTTTTATTTAGAAAGGACTTTGGAGAAAGCATTTCTACTTTAGGGATCTTCCATTAACACATGACATTCACGCCCCTTTCAGAGTCTGAATAGGCATGTTAACTATCAAGCTGACCAGGAGTTGTGCAAAGATTATCTCTTGTACAACCATAGGGGATATACCAAAAAAACCACAAAAACCCTTGAAGCACTGGGAATATATTACATTTGATGTATATGTTTTTGAAATACTAGAGCAGTGGTTCTCAACCTGTGGGTCGCAACCCCTTTAGGCGTCAAACAACCCTTTCATAGGGGTCACCCAATTCATAACAGTAGCAAAATGACAGTTATGAAGTAGCAACAAAAATAATTTTATAGTTGGGGGCCACCACAACATGACGGACTGTATTAAAAGATCGTGACATTAGGAAGGTTGAGAACCACTGCTCCAGAGGGTCATATGTTAAAGAGTAGATAATGAATTATTTTAAAATTCAAGTTCAACATGAAATATGACTCTTCTTTAAAGCATGTCCCAATTGAGAAATTAATAATCAGGTACTGAATCTAGACACTTCTTACAAAAAATAAGCTGAATGTAAGTTTAAATACATAAAAAACATAATATAACTGAGGGGAAAATAAGAGAAATCGGATGTCTTTCTTACCATCAAGAGCTTGTTGTTATGCTAAAATGATGACTAGACACATAGCTGATTAAATTTGAAAACACATTCTGAAATCCTGTTCTCTTTTAGACTGACTGCTGTCAAGTTGATTCCAACTCATAGGATCACATATAGGGTTTCTGAGGCTGTCGATCTTTACAGGATTACATAGCCTCATCTTTCTCCTGCAGAGCAGCTAGTGGGTTTGAACTACTAGCCTTGAGGTAAGTAGTTAGGAGTCCAGTGTTTAGCTGATGGCATCGCTAGAGTTACAGTTTCTTTAGAGTAGAAGGGAAAGTCTTAAGCTCTAATTAGATACTACATATCTTCAAATTATGGAGATTTAAAAATAAAGAGCTGTATAAAGGCATCTCCAAATTATCTCTCTTTATGGTTCCAGTAACTCAACAATCTGAACATTCCTGAACCCTCACTTTCCTGAGCTACACAACCCTGCTAGTGGTTAATCATTCATTATATTTGTTCTCACCTTCCCAAAACTGCCTTTCCCAATGGCACGAAGAATTTCAAAGTGATCAAAAGTGACTGTAAAACGAAAAAGAAAAGAAGAACATCACAAGTTATTGTTAGTTTCTCCATAGTAACTAGGAAACAGTAAATAAAGATTGGGATAAACTGAAGCACCTTATTTAAACCTGCATTTTAGACTATCTTAAAACGTGATTCATTCATTCACTAAAGATTCGTCGAACACTATTATATATTAATCATAATGCCTGGTGTTGCAGATGTGTTAAACAAAAATAGAATCTCTACTTTTATGGAGCATCTAGTCTAGTGAAGCTCTGTAAAAACTCATGTGGATCAAATAGTGAGATAAATAAAATGGAAATCTAAAATTAAAAAGAACATATCACTGTAAAGAATACATAATGGTACTTGATCTAGTAAGCCAGGAGAATCCATTTTGAGCACAATCACTAACGTAGATATCTGGCCTTATATGAATATGACACTACAACGGCTCTGATTTTTCATTTCTTAAAATTACAGTGAAAATTAAAATACAGTTGCCCATTAGATATTCTTCAGGTGTATAATTTCTAAACTGCTATAGAATTGATTCTGACTCACAGTGAGTCTATAGGACATTTCTTGGGGCCATCCCTCAGCGTGAAATTTGCTGGGTTATACGTGAGTCGTCTGCATTACTTCCTGAGGAATCACTACGTTGTTTTCCACTTGAGAGGAGTATCAGTTCCTCTTGGCAAGGGTCTTCCTCTTTTTCACTGTCCTGCTGTACCAAGCATGCTGTCCTTTGCCAGGGACTGAGCGCTCCTGATAATATGTCTGAAGTCGTTGAGATGAACCCTCACTAACTTTGCCTCTAAAAAGCACTCTGGCCTTACTTCTTTCAAGACAAACTTATTTGTCCTTTTAGCAGTCCACAGTACTTTTCTATATTCTTCTCCGGCACGATAATTCAAACAAATCAATTCTTCTTCAATCTTCCTTATTCAATGTCCATTTTCCACATGCATATGAGGAGATGGAAAATAACATGGCTCAGGTTTGGTGCACCTTAGTCCTCAAAGCAACATCTTTGCTTTTCGACACTATATAAAGATCTTGTCAGCAGATTTACCCAATGTAACGTGTCTTTTGATCTCTCTCTTTTATAATCATTTTCTTGAGAGCTCTAAAAATATCATAACATTCCATAGTTCAATCACATCAAGCAGTATTGTACAATGGCTATCACAATCAGTCTCAAAACATTTTATTTTTTCTTGACCTCCTTGATATCAGCTC